GTGGGGATGGAAAGAATATTCATTTGCTCTTGATTTCCCAGTCAAGAAAGGGAAACACATGTTTCTGAACACATGGGAAACCCCATTGGGAAGAATACAGAGAGCTGCTGTAAGATTTTTGTGCCTTGGGAACTATGTGCACAGAAATGTATGTGGTTTCTCTGCATAGAAACTGCTTTCTGTACAGAAAAAAACAACAAATATTTCGGTGGAGGAAGTGTGTTTTTCTGTACAGAAAATCTATGTGTACTTCTATTTTCTGCAGGGGAAAATTGCACAGATCGATACCTCCCAAAGCACAAATAGCAACTAGGAGCTGCACAGATACCTTTATGTTTTCATCCAGAGATTATCAAGATTTACCTTCTTGGTCTTGTGTCAGTTTGTTCTATCCAGGACTGCTCCGTTGTGTATGAAGGAGGGAAGAAGGGAGGTGATTTTAATTTAATTTAATTTAATTAACAAATTCTTTATTTCCCCCAAAACCCTTGTACCACTTCTCATGTTGTTCAGAAGGTCTTCCAATCTTCTGCATTTTTGAGGGACTCAGCGTAGGAAGCTATGAAGGAATTAGACAAGATCCTCTAGTGTCAAGATATATCACCGAGTACTAAAGTCAGGATTGTCCATGCCATTGTATTTCCAGTCTCTGTGGATGGTTGTGAAAGCTGGATATTGAGGAAGGCTGATAGGAAGAGAATTCATTTGAGACGCGATGCTTGAGGAGAGTTTTGTGGATACCTTGGCTTGCCAAAAGTACAAATAAATGGGTCCTAGAGCAAATCAGACCTAAGCTCACCCTGGAAGCCAAGATGACTAAACTGAGACTGTTATACTTTGGACATATCATGGGAAGACATGACTCACTAGAAAAGACAATTGTGCTTGGTAAGGTAGTAGGCAATAGGAGAAGAGGATAACCAATTCCAGATGGATGGACTCAGTCAAGGAAGCCACAACCATGAATCTGCAAGACTGGGCAGGACATTTGATAATAGGGTGTCTTGAAGATCTCTCATTCCCGGGGTCATCATAAATTTAAATTGACTTGACAGCGGTTGACAACAAACAAACAGGGTGATGTGTCGGAAGGGAGACTTCTTGAAAATTGTCTCCCCTTTTCAATCACAGAAACCTCTGCTGTATCAAAGAGCCTTCTGTGAATGGAAGGAACGCATTGGAGACATCATCATGAAATTGTTATGTGTACATGGAAAATACCGCTTTGTAAAAAATCATTTCAAAAAGGCTTTTGGAGATCAAGGTTTGGCTTATGAGCAGGGCTTATGTGTGCAATTTACATGTTTTAACACCTGAAAAAGTGAAATGTGAGACTGACTCTACCATGTAGAGCGTTTCCATTTCTGGCAAAAACAAGGCAGCATGTCTTGTGAAACATCTCCATGCATTTAAAACAACTTGGCATGGTTTAGTCCTGAAAATGGGTTTGTTC